TATGGTATTGGCCTCATTAAAAATTTTTTGTGCAAGAACCATAAAGACCTAAGAATAGTGTGGATGGTATAATGAACATTAAAATCTTGACTCCCACAAAATCTACACTTGTGTGCTTAATTTACCTGCATCTGTAGGTAAATCCACAGTTTTGCCTCTTAACTGCATGTTGAAGTGTTTTGTTTAAACAAGACTTAAATCCCATCTCTCCCCTGGGACAGGAGATTGTCAGGCTGAATAAAGCTGATATTTCTCCATTTCCAGATCCCAGTATCTCTGTTCATGAGGAGTCACAGCAGCACAGACTTGTAGGAATTGATGAGGATTACAGGGATGGCTCTTGTGATGTGGACTGAAGAGGAAATGTGATGCTTCTCTCTGCCCTTCCATTAGAAAAGTTTTTTTCATTTTTGAACATGTTCCATTTTTTTTTTTTTTTCATTTTTGAACATATTCCAAAATTGATGGAAAAATAAGTAAAAGGATTGTTTGTCTGCTTTGTCTGTGAAAGGGAAGGACAGAATGATTTCCTAAATGCAATCTTTATTAGATATAAGAGCCATAAAGGCAATCTGGAGTTATCTGGCATTCTTTATTTAGACCAGAAGGAAATAAAAGAAATGAATAATTTAGGCAATAGAGATGAACACAAGTGTTTTCCTTGCTAATGCAGTTGTGTGATACAGAACAGCTAAAACTGCAGCACAGCAGCTGAAGTTTTACTGCAGGAGTGAAGGAAACCACTTTGCTGGCTCTGCAAAAGGTGGGGTTTTGACCAGAGCTTCAACTGAAGATGCTGCAGCAATAGGACAAAGCCATCATGAGGATGAAACTGCTTTCAAATACCCCCCCACATGCTGAGATCACAAACTGGGCCTCTGCTGGCTTGAGGAGGGAGCTCAGCTGCACATTCAGGTGTTGTTCTTGCTATGGGCAAATCTAGAATAAGAGGTAAATTCAGATTTCCAGAGATGAGGTGGAGACTGAGCTAATTCCTGAGTGGTTTTCCTGCTGATTTGAAGGGACAGGGGATTTCCCACAGTGCCCAGGTAGCAGAACTGCCTTGGTGCCCTGGCTGGGACTCCTGGGAGAAGAATAATTGACAATAATGGACACTGAGATGTGGCCATTTAGCACTGCTGTAGGGAGGCTGTTCTGGAATGAAAACCTCACAAGAACACTCTTCCACAGACAAATGTCATTAACTCTGAATCCAAGCCCTATCTCTTTTTACAGCCTGGAATGAATTCATTTTATCCAGACATCTCATTAATGGCTCATTTCCAAAGTGAATCCCTATCCATGGCTGCAAATCACACACAAAATCCTGGTTCAATATGGGCCAGGAAGGAAGAAATGGCCACAACAGCCCCTTCAAGATTAAGCTTTGCTTTATGTCTCTCTAAACCAGAAATGCTGTAGGTGCGTTATTTTAGTAAGTCCTTATGTGCACAGGACGTGGATTTCAATGTCTCAAAGCCACAGCTGAATTCCCTGTGTTTTATAATGATTCAATTTTCAGCTGGTTGAAGAAACAACCAAATAACTGGGACATTTCCAGCTGAATCTGTGATGCAATAGATTCACACCATCTCTGGTCATTCCTGCTGTCCAGTTCCTGTAGCTTGGCCAAGGTTTTTTTCAAACTGGCACAGAGAATACAAAATCATTAAGCTAGCCCTACTGATTGGGTGGCAATTTTCATTGTCCCATGAAATATTTCTCCAAGTTAAATAAAATATATTAAAGCAATACTTTAAAAAGTAAAGTTTTTATGAATGCCATAAATCAGTTTCTTTTCCTGTATGTTTTTCAAAGCTAGGCTGTCCTGGTTATCTCAAGTAGTTTTAAGAAGCAGGGGACACATACCCCAACAAAATAATTTATCCAAAGTTAAACTCACAGTGTGACTCAGAGTTTGGTTTTTTTTTTTTTTCAGTGGTGATATGACAACTTCAGGTGGATTTTGTTGTATTATAATGAGTAAATTTGAGGTGATCAGAAGAGGCTCTGTTGAAAAATTTGTCCCCACCATCTCTGTACATTACCAATTGTTGTTTTGATCTACATAATCCCCTTTCATCCCTTTATTGATATTGGAATTCATATGCATGTGGAAATTCCTCAAGTGTTAATATTCAAATATTATGGCTATAAATACTTATATTTATAATAATTTAACATAATTTTATCTTAAAGCAAAATCAAAAGTCTTCTCTTGTGGAAAACTGCATGAATTCCATACATCCAAGCTACTGCAAACAATAGTCTTGATGATCCCAAGAATATCATCCCTATGCAGGGTTACACAGATGGAAATATCTAAAGGTCTTCAAATACAAATCCTGCTGCTCTGCTTCCAGTTTGGGATGTCCCCTGGAGAAAGAGGAGCCAACAGTGGAAGAAAGTATTTTCATGAATTTTCAGTCAAGTATTGGAGCAAAATGTTCAGTTTTTTTCTTAGCAAGATAAAAATTGATTTGGTTAGTCACTTCTAGCTTAAAGTCTAGAAGGAAGCAGGTGTTCTCCTATTAATTTATATGGATAACTGTAAAAAATAAATTCCAGGATGCTACTGAATTGATGGTAAAGATCCTCATGATGTCACTTGGAATGTTGTAAGGCTTGAGCAGATTGGGAGAGTGTTGTGAACGATTCATTGCAGGGTTCCCATCAGCTGTTGTGATCCCTGCCTGCTCACACAGCTCAGGCTTGGTTTCATTGACAGCTCCTGCTAAATTGAGCATTTCCCAACATTGGCCTGGTAATCTGAAGCATCCACAGACAGCACAAGTAATTCATCCTTGAAAAATAAAGAGCAGTCTTTTTCTGAGATCTGTATGAACATTTATTATTAAGTTTCAGTTTCTCTAGAAATAAACACCAAAATACTCATGAATTTTTTTCAGCCTGGAAACAGCCATCTTGCAGCCTAAATCCACAGGCAACCCAGGAATTCTTCAGCTTTAAAGTGAATTAATAACATTTCATTCTGAATAAAACCAGACCCGCTTCTCGTACCTGCATGGGTAGGTGAATGTCACTGCAGGGAACCTCAGCCTGCTCTGACAGGCAGCTGCCAGGCTCAAAAATGGTTCATTTCCTACAGGTTTCATCCAAATAGGGTTTTGCACAGCTGAGAGCAGTGCTGGATAGGGACTGTGCATCCCATGGAGAATGGATGTGACACCTGGGTTGCTCCATAAACTTTTGCTGCAGTCTGGCAGCAGAAAACAGGATGTGAAACACAGAGACTTTTCAACTTTTATTTTATAACTCCCAGCAGTACCTGTGGATCTCCCCTTGGCTTTGGTAGGAGCAACATAAACACTGAATTAAATGATATTTTATGAACTGAGCACGCAAAACCTGCTTGCTTTTATTTTTCAGCTCGCCGTAGTTTTCAGCTCAGACCTTGCACAGGTAGATCTGGGTAACTTCTGAGTGTAGGGAATGTTGAGGTTGTTCACAGAGAAGTGCACCAAAGTGCCAAAGCATTCTCAGGATTGCACCATGAGATCGATTTCCAAACCTGTCTTGAGGACCAAACTTGTTAAAAAAGGCAGGCACTTCCCAGAGATGTAATTTACTCCCAGTGGAGATCTGTCAGAGCCTGAGACTTCTCCCATTTGGAGGATGATGAAAGATGCAACACTCTATAAGGAAATGAAATTAAAACAATCAGATAATCAAACCAAAATGCTCCCAGCTATTCCTTCCTCTGGCTTTCATTACACATCCTGTTTCTTCTCTGTTTTGGATAATTGAATTGAAAGCCCTTTGAAATGAGGACTTGTCTATTTTTCAGCTCTTATGTAAGACTAAGATCACTGTTGGTACTATAGAAAATAGATTAATTTTTAGCTTTTTTCTTTACTACTTCTGAAGGAGGCATTTGGATTTGTGTGAGAACTTCCTAAGGATGAACAAAGAAACAGTCAATTGACAGCCTGTAACATTTTTCCTGAGGGATTTTAGTTTGTTGTGAACTAAGGAAGAGTCTGGGAAATCTCAAATCTTGCCAGTTTGTGCCTCATAATGCAAAACTTCACCTGAAAGTTGAACACAACCAGGACGAGTTTCTCAGGTACATTCCAGGGCAGAATCCCCATCCCTGGAGGGTTTAACAGAGTGTGGATGTGGCACTTGGGGACAATCGTGCTGAACATGGGGGAATGGTTGCACTTGGTGATTTCTGAGGGCTTTCCCAACATAAATGATTCTTTCATGCTTTGATAACCTCATGACATTTTGGTGAGTGAATAAAAAGCCAGACATTTGTCTGATAATCATGAAACAGATTTTCCCCAACCTCTCACCTTCCAAAGCCAGAGCTCCAAGCGCTGCTTTGCTGAAGGAATGGCATTTGGTTTTCTGTCCTCAGTGATGTGCAGAAATTGGGGCTTAGAGAGATGGTCCTTGGTTCAAAATTGGTCTTTTTGTGCTAAATAACCATCTTTGCAGAGCTCTCTGGGCTCCCAGACCTCTGGAACAGATGCTATTGTGAAACGGGAGGGACTCTGAGTGGAGTTTCCAGAACAGATTTTAATTAGAAACATAACTTCATACAGTAGCTTGGAGTGAGTACAGGGAGGGGGAAAAAAAAAATCCAAGCAAGAGATGAAAAATAAAACACCAAAAAGAGAAATAAAAAGGGTGTTTTACTGGTGTTTTGTACTGAGAAGCACTTGACAGGAAATCCTGTGCATCTCTGTGAAAAACTGAGGCACAGAGCAAGCTGTAATAACTATCTGAGCCCCTGGAAGCGGTGTAAATCTGCATTGCCTCATTGATTTTCTGAGAGCTGCCATTTCTCACTGACCTCAGCACTACTGTGCTCTTTTATCCCAGGGAGGACCCCAGCCAGCTTGGCACTGCCGAAATCCAGAAACTTTGAATACTTGTTTGTTTTGTGTTGTTGTGTTGTTGGTTTGGTGTGGGGTTGGTTTTTTTTTTTTTCCCCTGTTCAATTAAAATTTAATCAATCTTTTGTTTTGTAGATTGCCCTCCACTTGGTCTAGAGACATTAAAAATTACTGACTTCCAGCTCCATGCCTCCACAGCAAAGCGCTACGGCCTCGGGGCCCACCGAGGAAGGCTCAATATTCAGGTAACATCAATTTTTCTCCCAAGTGGGAGAATGGCTCCAGGTTGTGCTGCTGAATAAAGAGAACCAGTGGATAGTTATTGGTTCTGACTGCTTTGTCAGCTCATGTAATTCAAATGAAGGGGAAACACTGGGCTTGTGGAAGAGAGTAAGGTTGATGGATAATCTTTGGGATTGTGGGCTAGTTAGGGAAATCTCCAGATTTGGTGTGCAGAGGCAGCCAGAGCTCTGTGAGCAGGCAGAGCTCCCTGCCCAGCTCCAGGAGATCCCAGCTCCCTTCACAACCAGCCTGCAAGGAAGCTCTCACAGCAAGTTGCTTTTTTCTTTGTTGTTTGCCTGTAGTTAATGACAATGGTTAATTGAAAATGTGGTTTCAAGTGAAACCCTTCCCCTAAGGCAGTTTTTTTCAGAAGCAGTGATTATATCATCCAAAAAATCCTTCAGTTCAGATCTCTCTAAAATACAATCCTGTTTAGCTTCTTTATTCAAGATTAAAAATGTGTTTAGATGCTTTGCAGGACCAAATGCCATTTTCCCATTTCTCATGTTTCTGTTTTCCACTTCATTATTGGGGCTGTTCTCTGACTTACAGTCTGTCCAGACTAAAATTGTTACTCTGCATGATAGAACACAACACTTACAGTCACAAACAGGATATCAGTGCCAAGCCAGCAGTGAAAGATCTCTGAAGTTTAATTTGTTATCTTTCATTATATTTGTGTTTCTCCCTGGCTGAAGGGGTTTGATGCTTAGGGGGCTGGGGTGAGGAGGGATGAGCTCTAATCAGCAGTGCCATTCCACATGGTTCCCTCTGGAAGAGGGATCACCCCTGCTTAAAATCCCTTTACAAACATCACCCTTAGCTTCTCTCTGGGGAAAATACCTGCATACCCCTCCTCATTTTTTATTTATTTTTTTTCCCAATGTTTGTTTTAATGTCCTACAGTTGTTCAGAAAGCTCAGGAACCATTTTGGAAAGGCAGCTGGGGGGCTGCAGCAGCACAGGGGTGGGAATGGGCTCTTCCTTCCCAATCCAGTGGGCAGGGGTTGTGTGCAGGGCGAGGTCTCACCTGCAGCCTTCACAGTTCTTGTCTTTTGAGAGCCCACTGAAGGAGTTTGCTTCTGTATTTGATATTTTCTGCTAGGAAAAAACCCCTCATGGTCACAAAAATGGAATGCAGATGATATTCAGGGGGGCTCTAGAGGAATGCTTAGTTATTTTATTGCAGTCTTGTTTATATAATGACATAAGACCAAGGACTGTGATGCAAACCTCTCAGTTCTCTGTTGGTTCTGGCTACTTATTTTTCATGTTGCTGTTAAAGTTCAATTTATTTAATCACAGGACCATGATGGCGCAGACCAGGAAGTTTATCCAGTCCTGCAATCACCAGTAGTGTGTTAAAAGAAATAGAGAGATGATAAAAAAATAAATAATATATATATATAATAAATAGAGTGTTATCAATGGCTGATGTTCCCTGTAAATATTATCTCCAGGGAAGCCAAGGGCACAGCCTTTTACTGAGAGCAAAGCAGAAGAAAAATGCCGCTCTGCTCTTCCCGAAATTTCCCAAAGCTTGGATTAGACCAATTATTTTTTACCCCTACTGAAACTATAGATACAGTAATTCCCTAAACCCCCTCACCACATAGGGCTACTACTACTGTTAAAAAAAATTGGGCTTGCCTTTGTTTTTCTTTAAAAACAGTTTTCTTTGGGCTTAGTTAAAAATGAATAGCACCAAAACTTCCTTAAACCTAGAAGCTGCAGGTCCCTGTCACTGGGGTTTCAGTGCTTCAATTTACTCTGCACGGAGATTTCTGAACCTCAGTCATATTTAGAGGGAATTTGCTTCTAACCAGGGGCAGGTCCTGCAGGTGGCTGATGTGTCAGGTGGGTAATGAGGTCCCTGGTGACTTCTCTTTGCTGCTCAGCACAGGAGGCTGCAGCGTGCTGGGGAAAGGCAAAAGGCACTGGGATTTCAGCTGCTGTGTTCTCCTGCTGTTCAGGACCCTGCATGAAGGGAAACACTTGGCCCAGCTCAGGGACACTGATGTGCCACTGGAATTCTGTGAAGTTGTTATGCTGTAGGTATGGTGACAGGCAATTTTATGGGCTGCTGCCCTTGTCCAGAGGTCTGGGTATCACCACAGAGCTGTCACAATGTTTGTGGGACTGTGGTGTTCCCCCCAAAAGAATACAAAATCCTCTCTCTGCCCAACCTCATCATCTGATGCAAAGTCAGCTGAGAAGCTCAGGGCTCTCCCCAGGTAACTGGCACTGCTTCAATTCACAGAGAATTTGCAGAATAATTAAGTTTTTCAAAAGCTTTTCAGGTTTTTGGTTTGTTTTTTCCCTTTTTTCTGCTTAAATTATCTGAAGCACAAGAAATGAATCAGTTGGTGTGTGCTTTATTCCAGAGAAGAACAGGCTTAGAATTGGATGAGGATTTTCTGGATCTGCTTCTCTTGTACCCTTGGATTGTGTTGGGCCTGATTTTCCTCCCAGTCCTGCCTGAATGTGGGGGTTAAGGTGGGATTTCTCAAGGGCATGAGCCACGTTAGTGGAGCCCCATATTTTGGAGATCTAACTGCAATAGTGGTACAACCAGGAGTAATTTAACATCATCAAGAGAAATCATGACATAAAATAATATTAATTGAGGCTCTCTGCCTTCAGGGATAAAATGCATTCGTATTTGTCACTTATATGATAAGTAAGAGTGGGTGAATAATTTGTCAAATTATGTTTCTCTCCCTTCCTCATTTTCCTGGTTGGAGAAATGCAAACACTGAAGATGAACCAAGTAAAGCAATCCCATGTCTGCAAACACAGGCATTTGTGTATAAAGGGGTCTAAAGGAGCTCCAGGAGAGATTGGAGAGGGATTTGGGAGGAGGGATGGAGGGACAGAACACAGGGAATGGCTCCCAGTGCCAGAGGGCAGGGCTGGATGGGATATTGGGAAGGAATTGTTCCCTGGGAGGGTGGTGAGACCCCAGCACATGGTGCTCAGAAAAGCTGTGGTTATCCCTGCAGGTGTCCAAGACCAGGCTGGACACTGGGGCTGGGAGCAGCCTGGGACAGGGGAAGGTGTCCCTGCCATGGCAGGGGTGGAGTGAGGTGATCTTTAAGGTCCCTTCCAATCCAAACCATTCCATGATTCCACGATTGTCTTTCCAGGTCTTTGTTCCCTTTGAAAAGCTGCATTATCAAATCACAAGGAAAAGACAAAATGATTGAAGATTTGCTCTCAGCCTGTGTGTTTTGGTTCTTCCCTCCTGGCAGTGGTTGCTATAAATACCTGTGATAAATAATGCTTTTTGCTTTTTTCCCTCCCAAACTTCCTATGGTAAAATAATTCTTTTGATCATCCTGCTGGGAAGGGAAAAGAATTTAAGCAGAGGTGGTTTGATATTTGGTGTATTTTTACTGCTGCCCCAGCTGATCTGTGGCAGAAGACTGGAATTTCTTTCTTTATTTGAATACATTTTGGTAGTATCATCTTTCTCCTCATTATAGAATAAAGCTTTTAGAACACTGATATTGTGAGCAAGTTTTTATTCTGCCTTGCACACATCCAATTTGGAAGAGAAAGATGAATTAAAATGCAAAGTCATATTATTTGTAAAGGAATTTGTAACCTTCATCTTATTTTCTGAATACCTCATAGGCAGCTAATTTGGTTTAGCTGAATTACAATTATCAGCTCTCACACTTGGGAATAATTTATTTGTGAGTGACAGAAGAAAGTCTCTTTTCCTCTATCCAAAAGGTTTTGGGTTTGTTTTTTTTTTTTTCCATAAGGCATTGCTTATTGAGAAATATTTTTGCATTTGGCTGCAAGTGAAACACAAACTGGGTTAGACCTGGAGTTATTCTTGAGTATTCTGTGAAGGGAAAAAAGATTTTCTCAAGACTTTGCACTGGCTTCCAATTTTCATTAGCTCCTTCAGTCTCCTGCTTATGAAAATAATTTGAGTACCCATGACATAACTTGAATCTGCTTTTTCCAGTAATTCAAAATGGAATTTTAAAATTCAAGTAAACACCTTACTGAGGAAAAGTGTCTTGATGTGTATTATTTGACAGAATACTCTGTGATAACTGTACCCATCTTTCAGGAATGATCATTTCTCCAAAGAAATTTAATAGGAATTCTAATTACTAAATACTTGATTGAGTCTATAAATTTTTATCTTATAGAAACAGTTTTTTGAAGTGGTCATAGGGAAATAATGCACATTCAGAGTAAAAAATACAGACTTGAAGCTTGAGAAGAGAAATTGTAGCATAAATTTCTTGAGATTTTTTTTCCTTCAGAAACATTTCTAAAAAGAGCTTCTCACTGCTTAAATTCCTCTTTTTTCACGTAGTATTTTGTGCTGATTAGACATAGACACCTGCTTCTTTTTATTTAGTAAAACCCTTTTTTATCAGCTTCAGAGAAGCTGATATCAGAAAATAGGAGAGCAGGGAGAAGTAGCAGCATGGGAGTTTTTGGGGTGTTTTTTTGTTTTTTTTAATGATATCTTTGTACCTATTTAATGCTTAAAGTATTTTAAGCTGTGGATAACTAAGACTCCCCATATTTGATATACAATTTAAGCTTAACATTATTTGAACCCAGCTGAAACCATGGATGCTCAGGAAACGTAATTTAGGTGGGAGGGGTTTTTTTATTTTAATAAGCACTTTTTCCCCCACTTTTTTCTTCTGTCTTCCACTTCTCATGGCAGCATGGAGGAGAGGTCTGTTCCCCAGTGAGCATCACTAACAGGAAATATCCTCAGCTCATTAAGGACCAGGGATTGGGAGATAGGGGACTCTGGAACTGGTGGAATTTCCCCAGCGTGAAGGGGATTAGCAGGATGCTGCTTCAAGGTGTTCTGTAGATCTTAACACTTCCTGGCAAGGGTTTAAAGCCTGAGGCTACTTCAAATTCCATCTTATTTTAAAATGCATTGAAACCTTTCCTTGTGAAGGGTTATAACTCGGGCCAGTGGTCGTGTTTGTATTCTTGTGTTTTCCCATTGTTCTGCTCTCCTTGAAGAATTTATCTCCCATTGTTAACAAGCTTTTTCCTCTGGGTTTTTTTTTCTTCATACAAACTTCTTAAAATATCAGAGCTAATGCACAGAAGTAGGGGCTTAATTTAATTTTGGTAGATGTAGGAAAACAAATCATTTTTAAGATACCTTAGATCTCAGACCTGATGAATACCTGAGAAAATGAGAAGTTTTAGGAGCTGAATCAGTGTCTTGTGTTTTGCAGCACTTCCTTCAGATGCCATCAGAGCCACAGTGGGAAAAGGGATTTAGAACCTCCCATTTGGGCAGAAAAAGTCTGTAAACCTCTCCACTTTCATTTGGGAAATATTGAATGATATCCATTCTTGGAATTGCATGGATGGCAATGATAAATCAACAGAAACCACAGATGAAATACCACAAAAATTACACGTAGCCTCAGAGGAGTGCATGGCAAAGCTTCTGTCCTCTCTGTGGCATTATCCAGCTTGGTGCCAAACATTTCCTGGGCTTTAGAAGGAAAATACATCTCTGAAGGCTTCAGATGCCATGTTTCATTAAATCCTAGTTCAGATTTATTTGGAAAACGGCTTACCCAAAATACCTTCAGCTATTTCTTTGAAAATGCTGGGAAGGCTGTTTGTGGTGGGTTTCCCAGCAGAATCTGGGATACAGGTTGGTGCTCAAGTTGGGGAACAGCCAGACATTCCTGAATTTTTAACCTTTGCCCCCCTTGCTATAAAAATCAATAGTTCTGGTTCTGGTGAGAAGTAGTGTTAATGTTTCCTTATGCCCTGCACTCTGCTTTGCTGCTTCCAGGGAAAATGAGATTTTCTAATCACTGACCGTAATTTACATGGGCTGGAGCTGGTTTTTTAGGACTTTCCAAACCCTGTAGATCCTGTGGATAATTTGTTCTGGATAAAGGCTGTGGCTCTTGATCTGGCTCTGTCAGGCCACAAGAACAGACTGAAGCTCTGTTTACCTTTTCTGGTTTAAATTTAAATTTAAATGTAAACATTCTTTGTTTTCAAAAGGACTTCCCAGAATCTCCTGCCCTGCCTTGAGTAAGGAAATATTTTGGTGAGGGCCTCAAGGGTCTTATAGTGCCAGAGGAGTGAGGGGGATGAATGATGTGTTCCTTTCTTTTTCCCATGAAAGACCTCCAGTTTCTTAGCTCTGATTTATGGTCAGCTTTGCCTTCTTTTCAGGCAGGTGTTAACGAAAATGATTTTTATGATGGTGCTTGGTGTGCAGGAAGAAATGACCCCTACCAGTGGATTGAAGTAGATGCTCGAAGGCTGACAAAATTCACTGGAGTCATCACACAGGGAAGAAACTCCCTCTGGTCGTAAGTACACACTGAATTTTCTCCATGGGATTCTGAGCTTTCAGACCAAGGAATTCATGTCCTGATGTGCTTTGGTTCTTCAAGGAAAAAAAACCACAACAGTATTGGAAATGTTGGGAGAGGTCAAGTAATTGAATGGGGCAACAGTAAAAGGCAAAGTCATTCTAAATGGCATAAAATAGAAGTTTAAGGGTAACAAACTTCTGTAGTTGTGATCTACATCTGGGCCTTTACACTCACCTTGTCATATTTGTGTTAAACTCTCTCATTCTTTCCCCAATATTTAACTAGATTAGCTTAGGTTATAGTTTCAGGGACCTTTTTAATTTAGTTTAGAATAACCATGCCTCACTGAAACGTCTTAATCCTTAAGTAATCACCAAGGAACTGCTGGAATTCCAAAACAACCTGATTTTTATGTGAGCAGATAAAACAAACTTTATTTATTTATTTATTGACATAGATATTATATACATATATATTATTTATACATTTATGTATATTAGTAATTAATTTTATTTAAAAAAACCTATATAATTACATATCTTAATATAATTATGCAAATATATATTTTATATATACAAACAAACAAACAAATAAATAAATTATTTTACTATTTTACTCTTTTTGAGCTTTCTGGCCACTGCTTGTGCTAGAGAATGTGCTCATGGCACTGAGAAATAAGTGTTTTGCCCAGATTTGTCTGCATTTACTCCTCTGTGACTGTTGGCAGTGTATATGAGGGATGCAGCAATCAGATGGCAGGAACAGGAATTGGAGGTGAGGATTTGGGGTTTTTTTCCTGCTCTTTACGTGTTTGTTTGGTCTTTTAATTTGTCATTGAGTCTCAGAGCTTTTATGTGAACAGGTAGTTCCACCTGTTCAGCTGAACCTTCTGCACGAGTATGCAGGAGATGCACAACCCTCTGACAGATCCATTCTGGTCAGAACTCCCCCTTAGAAAATGAATGTGATGTGTAATTGAAGGTAAACCAGAAAAAATGCCACTGTATCTTAGAAAAAGAATATTTTTCTTTCAGCAGTTCAATTTTCTGTGGTGGTTTTTTGGTTTAATTTCTTTTAGCGTGGTTGTGGGAGCAGGTGCTTATTTGAAAATAAGGTTTCTATATTTATCCCACATTGTTCTGTGGTAGGGAGGTAATTACTGTAGCAAAACCTGACTCTTTTCTTTATTCATCCTCTTGACACTGCTGTTCCTCTCAAGGCCAGAGCTGCACTGCTTCATCCTGTCATGCTTCTATTTTTAGTTCAGCTCTGTTAGGAGTTTACAGCAGATCTTGACACTCTATTTATAGCTGGTGTTCACAGTTATCTTGGGGTTTTGGGGTTTTTTTTTTGAGCCATAGAAGCACAGAATCACAGAAAGGTTTGGGTTGGAGTGGGCCTTAAAGATCATTGAGTTCCAGCTCCCCCACTGTGGGTGAAGAGTTTTGGTTTTTCCCTCTCTCCCCATAAAAAATGGGTGGCCAGAACCCTGAGGGTCCGCAGGAAGAGCAGGATTGGTGCTGGCAGAGCAGGTCCAGCCTTTTCTGGATTGCTGCTCAGATTTGAGGAAAAACAGGCACATTTCTGCCAAGATGGTTTCAAGAGGAGCAGCTGCGCTGTGGGACAGGTTAAACACGTCCTGTAGGGCCGAGCCCATGGAAGGGGCAGGGGAGAAACAGTCCCAGTAAGGGACAGGGAAGAGTGGGGCAGGACTGGTGTTGGGGTGGGCAGGTTCCTTTGTGCCTGTTTTGCTCAGGAAGCAAAGGAGGCTCAGCAGCTTTGGCTGTGATGGTAGCAGAGGATTGTTTGTGCTGTGAAAGTTTGCACCAAAAGATGCCCTTCTGTTACCTGAGGCGCCTTCCCAGCTTTATGAGGCTGTGTGACAAGAAGAGAGTGCTTTCATGACTGATGGAAACATATGTTGGAGAATAATCTTATTGTAGGTATGAGAGCCAAAAAAACCACCTCTGTGATCTGTGCTGTATTAGAAGTGAAAGCCTGCCAAGCAGGGGAGCCGAGGTAAGATTTTTATTTAGTCCAAAGCCTTGGAGACTTTCCCAGCTCTATATTTTAAAAATCAAAAATCAAGGCAGTGGAGGAGGGCAGGATTATATTAGATATTAGATAATTGTTCCCTGGGAGGGTGAGGAGGGCCTGGCACAGGTGCCCAGAGCAGCTGGGGCTGCCCCTGGATCCTGGAAGTGCCCAAAGCCAGCCTGGGACAGGGCTGGAGCAGCTGGGACAGGGGAAGGTGTCCCTGCCATGGCTGGGGTGGAATGAGATGATCTTTAAGGTCTCTTCAAACCAAAGCATTCTGTGATCCCATGATACTGGGATAAAGAACCAGTAGACCAACTCTGTATTGAACAAGAATCTTTAACAAAATGAAAAAAATTGTACTCCAATGGAAGATCTGCCCAGATCAGGTTTGTACCTGTCCTGGTCCCTGTAGTTTCCTGCTGCTGACTTAATGAGGACATTTAAAATGCCAAGGGAGGGCAGGCAAGGACACCCTGCTGAATCCTCTATCAAACATCTTTGCCCTTCACTGCAAGGCTGCCACACTTGAGTTCACAGCAGCCTTTGCTCTCCTGTGTGTGATGATGCAGCCAGAGCTCCTTCCCTGGTGCTGCACTCATCCTTTTCCTCCTTTGGAGCAGCTCTGGCACCTGGAGCCTGGATTTGTTCACAACCACTCCAGTCAGACACGACCTGCTCACGTGCAGCTTTGCTCATGAGGCTTTCTTTGTGCTTCCTCTGCAATGATGAACTGAAGGTTACACTTCACACCGTGACAAGAGCACAGAAATGCTTGAGGTTCCCATGTCCTGAGCACAGGCAGGAGCTGCTCCTCCTCAGTCCTTCCTCTCCTGCTGTTCCCTGTCTGTCCCTGGTGGATTGTGGCTCCTCCTGTCCATGCCAGGCTTGAGACAGGAGAGCCCTGAGGAGGAAAAGGCTGAGTTCTTGAAAACACAAATGACCTGATGGGAGAGAAGGAAACTGAGCCTGGTTTGTAAGGAATACTCAGATTGTTCAGTCATTTCCTTTTTAAGGAAAAGCACTTCTGAGTCATTTCTTTTGCTCAGCTGTGAATTCTGTGATGGCCACAGGGAATCAAACCTTTCTCCTCTCCTTTTTTAAGCCTGCAACAAGCAAAAACAGTCTTTGAACAAAAAATCCTGGATTTGAGGAGTCCTTCCTGTTATCAGTCAAAGCAAGCACGTGGGCTGTTGCTGCTCAAGCACCTCAGTCATTCCTGGGAAACCTGAAATCATGGAAAAGTGTTCTTTTGCCACCATAAATGGGCAGATCTGCTTAGGTCATCCAGAAGTTCTGCAGATGATGAATTTCACAGAAAAAGTGGAGCCAAGCTGCGAGAACCAGGACTTCTTTTTTGATTTTTACACTGAAGATATCCAAAAATCAGGAGTGCCACAAGTGCTGGTTTATAGGAATAAAATCCAGCTCCTTGAAAATGAGCAGAATATCTGCTGATTTGGGGGAGAAATCATATATGTAATTCTTCATATTGCTGCCAATACATCTTCCAGTTTTAGGAACTTTAATCAACTGCAGGAATCTTCAAACAGCTGTTCAGGGCTGTGGAGGGGGACACTGGAAGCATCACTGTGGAATTGTGCCATGGATTTAAAGCAATGATGTGATAGTTTAAAATATGCACCCTCTTGACAGAGGGAAAGAAACTATTAATCACTCTTAGCAGTTTGGCAGGAATTTGAAAAACAGAGTAAACTTGTTTCCCACAAACCAAACTCTCTTCTGATAATTCAGCATCAGCTTTTGTATCAAGAGAAAACCCTCACATCAAAACAGAGTCAGTGTGTGCTGACAATAAAATAAAGCTTCAGGCTGTGTGAATGCAGAGGATGTTTTGGTTTTCAGGACAGGATGTAATGTTGCAGTGAGTGAGATGTATTTTCTAAAAATTAACCTTTCAGTCACGGTAAATTGTGAACTGTCACTGCACGCTGTGGAATGACAAAATGACAGCAATAAGAAGAAACAGGGTTGAAATTATCTGTGCAGAAAGTTGGAATTCCACAGGAAAATTATGAAATTTTTAGAGAAAAATCAAAATAGACTTACTTTCAAGCATGTTCTCTTTAAGACCTTTCAGCTTCATGAAAATATTGAAGTATTTTTACTTTTATGCAAGATATTTGTCTTTAGGAAAAAAAAAAACCTGTAGGGGAAGCATCTTAATTTTTCAGGTCTGATTTGACTATAGGTTTTTCCATGTATTCCAAAATTGCAATAGCTCTTAAAAGGTCTGAGGAGACACCAAATCAATGGTGTTGCTGGCTGGAAGGAATGACTTTCATGTATTGCCTGGTTCTAAACTGACACCCTTTTGAGCTGGTCACTTATTTTCATTAGTGCTGAAGGAACATTTTAACTGGAACCTGGTGTAGACACCATTGCACCCTCCCTGCTGTGTCACTTTGTTTCATTTCCCTGTGCTGCTCTGTAGGGATAGCAAATTATAAACACCCAGCAGATTGGATTTTGTGTCTGATCATGCTTTTGCTACAGAGAAGATTCTTGTGATTGAAGAGGGAAATGATGTGATTTTTTTTGGTAGTACACCCTCGGCCTCAGCGCTCCCTGTGTGTGGTGTAGCTCTTGATGATGCCCCAGCATCCCTTCTGACAAACTGTCCTGAGGGAACTGTGGGTCTGGAACAAGCTGGGTGCCTTCCAGAGGTACAGCTGAGGATAAATTTAGGTCAGTGCAATTTGCTTGCTTGCTTCTAATTTCAATGGTACAGCGTTCTGCTCTTTAGTCACAAAATGAATGCGTTGCCCCACATTTAGTGCTGCTCTCCCTGGCAGTTTCTCAGAAGCTCAGCTTTGTTTTTTAGGCAGTCTCTATGGCAAGGGGGTAATTTCCTTGTTTGCAAGGCAGTAAAAATCAGAGTCACAGGATCATTAAGGTTGGAAAATGCCTCTATCATCAAGTCCAACACTGCCAGG